AATTGTATATGTATTTATGCTCAAAAATCATGATAAAAGTATACAATACTCTATGTATTAATCAAATGATTTAAAACCCTTTTTTTAAAACAAATACAGTCAATGTAAATCAAATTTGTTTTTAACAAAATGTATAAAATAATTGCGAAGATAAGGTTAAAAAATAATAAAAACTACTACTAATAGAACTAAGAACAAGAAAAGATAATGCTTACGTAAGAAATCATAAAAGAACAAATATTTTTTAAGTACTATTGCAATCTTACTAATTTTAAAACTAGAACACCTATTTTCTATTATTCACTATTAACTCTGTGTAGAATTATTCAGTTTCTATCCCGACATTCAATATTTCTATTTACTATGCAAAAAATTCTCTAAAACGGAAAACTATAATGTTAAGTATCTGAGTCAGTTCCAAACTAGTGTATTAATTTTTCTACTCAATAATAAACATTTTGAAATCAAGGACCAATTCAATGGCTATTTATTTGTAAGAATAATGCACTATAAGTAAATTAAAAGGTGAAGAAATTAGAGGTTAGTACTTTTTTATACTTGCTTGAATACTTGCTTGCTATAATTTGCTTAAAAGTTTCTTCTTTTCTATTTGCTTCTGGAAAGGAATGTTATCTGAAAATTTGTTTCAAAGTTTAGTCTGATGTTATCCTATACAGACAATTCGGAACTATACCTATAATGCGACTATGTTCGACCGGACGCCTGTCACTTTCAGACTATGGGTAGCAAATCAATAGGCAGCAGGTGCAGCATCACGTTTACTACACTGATAGTCTCTTACTGATAGTTAGCCACGAAATATGTAAGAATTGGGCGTACAATGGCCATGTACATACAGTGTGTAATATCGGAACGAATCTTGTATTTTTTGCCGAACTTCCTTTTGCAAGAGTAAAAAGCTACACAAACCTTCTTGATTCTTCGATCGACATTGTGTTTCCAGTTTAGCTTACTATCGAGCAGAATTTCTAAATTTTTGACTTTTTCCGACAGTTTTAACTGTTGCTTATTTAATGAAGACAACCTTAAAGTCGGTATTTTGGTCTTGATAAAATAAACAGTCCCATCTTGGTTTTCCTCTATTAATAACCAATCAATAGCCTGTGACCCAAGTACATAATTTAACCAAGGCCCTTTGTATTATATATAAAAAATATAAATATAATATAAATATATAATTATTAGGAAACATACCTGACACTAAAATAATCACATAATTCGCAAATGTTACTGCTTTTACGCCTATCTTGTTGAGTGTATTAAGAATATTATCCACGACCAGCAGCCACAATAGCGATTAAATAATCCCCGCTCTTCTTATGTTTCACTCGAGTTTGAATATATATCTATATATAGATAATATATAGATCATTATATATGTAATGATAATAGATTTCGTATGCTAAACTTATACTATATTTTTTTATATACACTGTATATAGATTATTAATTATTCGAATCTAAATTATTTGAAATACAATACTGGCAACGGCCGTACAATTCAAGTTCAAGAATAGCCCTTGTTTTCAGCACAGTAACTATTCAATTTTTGAGCTCCTTCTGTAATCATATTCTGGCAAGTGAGTCATGTGTAGTTTTCATGAAGACATTATTGAAGATCCCTGCATATCTAAACAGGTTGCCTGCCAAAGAGAATTGTTTAAAATGAATTGATTTTTCCAAAGTGTAAGTGACCTCATGTTGCGCTGATTCCGTAGATCTACCCTTGAGGTAAACGCGCTGGAATTTTGCAATTGGAATTGCCCACTGTGCATGTTTTACCATTAGATATAAAAATTAATAATTAAATTAAAATGAATTTTTTGAAATGATAAAGTCCATGTATCCCCACAGCTTCACCGTTTTTAATACGGAAAAATTAGTCTCTAACAATTGATTTTGTTTTAAAATAATATATTTTTATTTAGTTTTTATTCCGAATCATCATGATTCATAGTGGTCCAATTTTTACTACATAAAAAAAAAAAAATACCTTAATTTATTATGCCATTTTTTACCATTCGAACCTATCCTTTTTCATGTTTGAAATTCAATTGGTGTGTGCTACTGTGGTCAGCAGTAGGCGCTCGGTTTTTGTGTAGATTTTTCGTGGGTCGCCTTTAACTTATTTGTTTTTGCTAAATATCAACAATTTGCTGAAATTTTTGTTATCCTGTGCTGAAGGATTTTATTTGCGCGTAAACATTCATTTAAAGATATTTTTTTTCATTTTGGCTCTATAAAAGACTTAATACGTACGTCATTTCTCGTTAGTTGTTCGTCGTTAGTTTTTCATTTGAGTTTACAGTTTGTTTTTAATGGTTTTAGCCTTTATTTATCCCACTCCCCTCTGGTGTTTATAGTGCTGAAATTTCATGCAAGTACATATAAAATGTGATTTTTTTTACACAAAAAAGGATGCCCTTTTTTATTTTTAATTTAGTAAAAAATGGTACACAATAGTGTTGCGTTGTGGCAATAAAAACTGCAAAACTTTGGAAAAAATAAATAAAATGCCAACCGAGCTTAGTCAACCCTAAAAAATTTTATTCCATTTTTTTACAAATATTTTTTCGTCTTTTTTGTTTTTATTTTATTTGGTAAGCTGTAAATTTTATGTTCAAAACCAGGCTGGTCTGCCAATGTCGGTCGACGAAGAGATGCATAATATTTTGCTTGATACTAATTTTTTGTTTTCTCAATTTGCCAAAATTTTTCTTTTTGAGCATCAAAGCAAAGTAAAATCAAATTGCTTAGCATGTGTGAGCACATGGGAAATGGGTTGAATAGCGCATGGAATGGATTGGTATCTGCTTAGCTTTCCGGCTTAGCTTACTTGGTCGATAGAACAGCGCGCGACATATTGTCTAGACATAAAATAATTTAATATTGTAACGAAATTCGGGTTGTAATGCGCCATTATTTAAACATTTGTTAAAAATTTTTATATTTCAATAGAAAAATAAACGCCTTAAAACAAATACCAAAAACGATGAAGCTTTTTTGTAGTTTAAAAGGAAAAAGGGAAAAATTGAAGTGAAAAATACGCGAATTTAAAGCGTAATATAAATACATGTAACGCTAACGAGCACAAATTTGCATTAAAAATCAATTTCAGTATTAAAAAGGATTTTGGGTTAAGCTTTAATGTGTATGCATGTGTAGTAGATAGAGTCGATAAAAAATGGTAGTTCAAAAAAATAATTTTTTTAAGAAGTGCATTAAAAATATATTAATCAAATTATGATTATGCACAGAGAAGGAATTCCAACTTGCTAAAGAAAAATTATGTGTTTCTAATGTTTAAAAAACATTTTTGTTAATTTGTGAACATTAGAAAAACTTTTTTGTTGAAGGGCATATCAAGTGAATACATATGTATATAGAACTCTCAATAAGTTTGTGAAATTAATAACACAAAAAATATTCTAAAAATTTAACTTTGTTTAGCAAAATAATTTTCTTCAAGAATGATACATATTCTACTTATCAGCCATGATATCTGGTAAATAATCCCTGGCGACTTATTCAGTGGTCCTTTAAAAATAATTTACATATCGTTTTATAATTTATGTATATATAAAATATTAGCATATAATTAAGTTTAAAAATTTTTATTATTTTAGAATAAATATTTTATTGTTTTATTTGCACAAAATGTTTTATAATAATTTGGTTTTTAAATGGGTTAATTGGTACTATATAATGTTCTTATAATGTAGAACATTATATAATGTAGATTAAGTTAGATTGAGAAGGTGCTTGCTGACAGTTATCAGCACTTTCACTTGTAGGCATATATTATCCATTGTGATGCCCTCAAAGATTAGAAGAGAAAGGCAAGTTGCTAGCCTTTATTATCTTCTATCCTTGTTACACCATTTGGTTCTCCAGATGAAGTTGAGGAGATCCAATAAGTTTGCTTTCGTTATTTCTTTCAGGCCAGTGAAAAAGAATTTGAAGTCGTCTTGTCTGCAGTCCTCGGCAGAGACACAGGAAGTGGTTGATGGATTCTACTTGCTCCTCATCTTGACAACTCCTGCATTATACACTAGTTGGAACTCGTCACTATTAAAGCATAGGCGCAATGGCACAGTGCCCCGTTAGTACTTTAGTAAGTGCACGAACTTCATGTTCGATGAAGCCCAAAAGGCTTTTCGTTTTATTGTTATTTATCGTATTGGTGATACCCTCGATGCACCTAAACAGTTCGCGTATCATTGTTTGTACCGAAAGGTCAGCCTCTCTTATATACAGTTCAGAACCTCTTCTGGCCATCTTAACTGCTTGTTCATGTAGCCCATTAAATTCTTGCTACATTATAAGACCATTATAGTACCCTGAAGATGACTTTAGAAAATTTTTTAAAAAACAAAAATAATTTTTTAAAAAGTGTATTATTTAAATATTGACCAATTAGCCTGTTAAAGAAGAAAATTATTATTAGAATAAATATTTAAATTAAGATAATCTTATTAAACGAATATCTAATCCATAAATAATAGATATTTAAATAGATAGGTGTTTTATTTCAGTTAGTTTACTGATTACTTTTCTTCACGACTACTTTATTATTTCTCAAAAACACATGTCGCCTTTTCGCGTGTGCTTAAAGGCGACGACACAATACAAAAATGACAAATACATTAAAGGCCATGATACAATAAATCTTAATTCTAAACATATCGCCGCCTTTGATGGCTCCAGCAGACATCAACATTCAGATGGAATAGGTGCCAATTTATGGATTGCTCGGCGAACCTCTCCATTTTTTGTTTTTACATCAGCAACTCGAACCCAACCTTTAGCATCTCTTGTCACTTTCAGCACTCTCCCAATAAGCCATTGCTTAGAAGGCAAATTTTCTTCTGCAATTAACACCATATCACCTTCATTAAGGTTCTTCTGCTTCTTAGTCCATTTGACTTTCTGTTGAAGTTCATGAAGATACCCCGCCGACCACCTTCTCCAAAAATGTTGTTGTATGGCCGAAATTCGTAGCCATCTATCTTTATGAGACCATTCTTCGCTATCCACAGTAGGTTCCACAGTTCCAACCAACGGACCACCTGTTAAGAAATGTGCCGGTGTAAGAACGCTTTCATCATTTGGGTCGTTAGACAAGGTTGTCAAAGGTCTTGAATTTAAAACTGCCTCTACTTCCGCAACCACTGTTGCCAGCTCTTCAAATGTAAGATGCGATTGACCCAATATTCTAGCCAAATGATATTTTGCTGATTTCACAGCCGCTTCTCATAGTCCACCAAAGTGGGGGGATCTGGGTGGTATATGATGAAATTCAATACTATTGGCAGTACAATATTTTGAAATCTTGCCCTGTACTTGTTGATCAAAAAACTTGCATTTCATTTCCTCGAGCTCTTTACGAGTACCCACAAAATTAGTGGCATTGTCGCAAAATAATTTTAAGTATAAGCCGCGTCGAGCTACAAATCTTTTTAATGAAGCCAGGAAAGCCTTTGCAGTCAAATCAGAGACCACCTCCATATGCACAGCTTTTGTGGCAAAACAAATAAAAACAGCAATATAGCTTTTTGTTGTTCTGTACCCACGAAGTAGATACGTTGTTGTAATAGGGCCGCAAAAGTCCACTCCAGTCACAGTGAATGGCCTCGCTACGGTGACTCTAGAAGAGGGTAAATCGCCTATAATCTGATTACTCAATTTTGGATGGCATCTAAAGCATTGTAGACAACCACCAGTAATTTTGCGTATTACTCCTCTAGCATGAAATATCCAAAATCGCTGCCTAACTATAGCCATAAGCGCTTGCGTACCAGCATGCAAATATTTGAAATGAAGAAATCGTACAAAACTGCAAACTATTTCTGAGTTATTCGGTAACAAAATTTGATGTTTAGCATCATATGGTAATGCAGCCTTCGCTAATCTCCCACCAACACGTAGTAGCGGAACACCATAAGTATCTTCTACAAAAATGCTCATATTTTTATATTTACTGTTTGCTGGCAATTCTCTATTCTTCAATAGCAGCTCAATTTCTTCTTTGAAATAATGTTGTTGCACACAGTAAAATATACGCACTAGTGCTTCATCTAATCTTTCAGTCATAGACTTAACGCTTCTTCGAAAGCCAAGAAGATTGGCAAAAATTCTTTGTAATTTTTCAAAATCGCTGAAGGTTTCAACCCACGTCACAAAAGAAGATTTCGAGTTATCCTCAGAGCATGCCTCATTAGGTATTTTTTTTTTCAAATAGCCTTCAATATCCACAAATCTTGCATGAAAATCTTCGCCCAAGGGGATCAAACAACTTAGATAGTTCCGACAACACTATTCTTTTTGTCACCGCTTTCGAGCGTATCTCCCACTGGAGCCCAGATGATACCAAGAGTTTTTATTATTTCCTCATTATTCATCCGAAGAGTCTTTTCTTTATCAGCTTCAGGTACGAAATTAAGAAATTTTTCACTATTTGAAAACCACTTCCTTAACTTAAATTTTGCTGAGTTCATTATTGCTGATACTTGATTATATATTTCAAAAATTTTATCTTCATCGTTTGATCCACTGATCAAATCATCCATATAAAAATCAGATAACACTTTTCTCGATCCAATCGGATATTTATCTATATAATCTTCACTTAACTGTTTTAAGCATCTTGTAGCTAAATAGGGGGCAGATGTTGTACCATAAGTAATGGTTCGCAAGCAATAGGCCTTTATGTTTTCGTCTGAGGAAGACCTCCACAAAATCGTTTGATAATTCGCATCATCATCAGTCACCCATGCTTGGCGATACATTTTTGTTACATCTGCCGTAATTGCATATTTGTAACATCTAAATCGCAGTATTATAGATAACAGGTCATCTTGAACCAGTGGTCCTTTCATCATTACCTCATTTAATGACAAGCCACTGTCAGTTTTACAGCTACAATCGAACACAACTCGAAGTTTCGTACTCGTGGAGTCTGGTCGTAGCACATACATACTGACATACCGGTGCAAAATATTTTATCTTATCCATATCAGCTTCTTCAACGATCGTCATGTGACCTAAAGAGAGGTACTCATCCATAAATGCGTTGTAAGCGTCTCGTGTAGAGCGATCTCTACTCAACCTACGCTCTAGTGACAGCAACCGTCGTTTGGCAGCATTATAGGAACCACCCAAATCACTTACTGTTGTTTTAAATGAAATTTTCGTAATAAATCGGCCAGATGTATCTCTACGAATTGATTCACGGAAAATTTTCTCGCATTCCTCTTCTTCTTCGGTTAAAAAATTTGATTTAGTTGAAATCTGTTCTATTTTCCAGAATTTTTCAACCAATTGACTCAAATTTTCATTCTCATTATGGTTGTGATTGACCAGCATATTATTTATTTTATGACTAGGCGCTAAACATTCTTCTGCTTTGCCTGCAACTATCCACCCTAGTATGGATTTCTGTAGGGTTGGCAACCTTTCATTAAGATAAATTCGTCCAATCGACAACAAATCGAAGAAAATTTCCGCACCAATTAAAATATCTATACGCGCTGGCTTATTGAACATTGGATCAGCCATTTGAATATTTTTTGGTAAATTCCAGTCCGCAACATCGACATAACGATTAGGTTTGGAGCTTGTTATTTTCGGTAAAACATAAAATTGCAGACTGACTTCGAATTCATTTATTTTTGATTTGATGGTAGCCACAGTTTTTGTTTTAAAGCTAGTTACAACGTCTCCAACACAGCTAGCATCTAATTTACAAGACGTTTTTTTTAATAACAGTTTTTGAGCAACTTTCTCACACATCAAATTTACTTGAGAGCCAGAATCTAATATGGCTCGCATTTGGTGATATTTGCCAAACTTGTCCGCTACCATTACTACTGCTGTTGCCAAAAAAACCTCGTTTTCAGTCATTACGGTCATAACTGATGACTGAGCTGTCTCCTGTGTTGACGTAGATGACCCATTTTTCATCTTTGTTCATTTGGCTCCAAGATATAATCTTTATGTAAAAGTTGATGATGAGATAAATTACATTTCGAGCATTTAACAGCAGAGCATTCTTTTTGAAGGTGTCCCCTTTTCAAACATGTAAAACATACCTTTATTCTCCGTGCTACGATAAAGCGTTCTTTTAAAGAAAGCTTTCTAAACTTGCTACAATCTGCAATCTCGTGGTCACTGCCATTGCAGACTTCACATAAAGGTTTTGTAACTGCAAGAGAGGTTGAGTAGTTGCGGTTATTTCTATACTCTTTTTGATAGTTTACAGCCTTTGAATGCACTTGATTAACTTTGTGTTCCCTGTAAGGACGGAAATTTTGACACCAAATTTCCGCCTACATAAAAAAAAAACTAGGCACTGAATTAACACAGAGGAAAATTGAAATTTTTGGTTAATTTAATTTATTTACAATAGTTTAATAATTTTATTTTACATAACAAAAAAATTATTGTTTATTGACGATTTAAAACGCGTGTTAGAATAACAAACTGTCAAAACAAAACACGACGAAAACAAAGTCAAAAGCGCAGCGAAATACGTCAAGATCAGAAGCACAGCGGCTACACGGCCAAGAATAAAAGCACAGCGGTTTACGCTGCAAAACACAGCAGGTAAACGAACGGAAGAATTTAAAATACGCTAGACGAAAGCTCCGGCGTAGGAGTATTTAAGACAGCGAAATTATGAAGCAGGCGCGAGTCTACGAACATTCGTCAAGGTGGTATTACGCCGAAAAATTATAATAATAAATTATATGTCTATGAAAACATATATCAGAAATATATAAGTCCTGCGTTGGTGTTACGACAACGGCCATAATTATATGTCTATGAAACATATATATATACCTTCTTTTAATAATACATATCGAGTTGTACTATATCTCTCTTCTTCTAGGATAGATTTGTAATCAGTTTCCTTTCCAATTTTAAATTGTAAAATTAAAGTAACTTACAGAAGTGTAAAAGGAGTCGATCTTAGGCAACAGAGGAGGAAATTCGGGAAACCACTGCAAGTGAAGATCTCATCGACAAGTACGATAGGAAACACAACAGGAGCCTGAGCTAAAGAAGATGCACATTTCTTGTTCTTATTTTATTGAATTAAAATCACATTTTAATTGAAATAACTTTATCATACGTTGGAATAATTTTTGGAATATTGTCTTTCAAAGTAAATTAACTATAAATTTATTTATAATCACATTGTAATGGAAATAACTTTATCATACGTTGGAATAATTTTTGGAATATTGTCTTTCAAAGTAAATAAACTATAAATTTATTTATAATCACATTGTAATTGAAATAACTTTATCATACGTTGGAATAATTTTTTTTTGGAATATTGTCTTTCAAAGTAAATAAACTATACAATTCAATCTAGTAAACGAACGTTTCCTTTTCTTTTTTTTTTTAAAACCTACGTCCCCGGAAAAAAATAAATTCATTGTAATGACTCTGGACGACGGCTGAGGATACCCCAGCAAAAACTAAATATTTTTGAACGTCACCAAAAAAGTGTCGTTACATCCCTTGCCTCAAGGTTCTCACATCGCCTCGTCAAAACTGCTGAACATTCATTCCAAGTTGACAGCTTCCTGTAATCCACTGATTCTTCTCATTTGACCTGCGAATCTTCGTCCACTCTTTCCATCACCAAATGAATTAACATGGCATTCGCTATATCTTTGTAATCACCTAATGATAGCATTGCATTCAAATGTGCATTCGCTGCATTTAATACATTTCTTAAATGAACTGCAGATGGTTTTGTTAGTTTTGGGACAGCAAAGAGGGCTGTAATATGTTCCTCGAACATCAACGCCTTTTTATCGAAGCATTCCTTCAATCGATCGAGTGCTTTGGGGTAATTGTCCTCTGTGACATCAAAATCGTCAATAGCTGCCAGCGGCTTAGAGCCCAAGTGCTCTTTAAGTATCAAAAATCGTTCGCAGTCATCAAGCATTTCATCCTGCTTGATTAATTTATTAAACAAGGCTATAAATTTCGGAAATTCGCTATACTTCCCTTCAAATTTCCCGACGACTTCTTGAGCCCGGCAATAACGATGTTGTATTCGTTGCATTGACATCTACCAGTGATAGCTTTCTTTTTTTTAGTAAACTCATTATTTTTGCTTTCGTGGCCACAAATGCATCTTCAACTTCTGCTGTAATTGCTTCGCTTGAAGAAGTATCTGCACCTTGGTTTAGTTTGTCGATATCTGCTTGCACACTCAGAAACTGTTTGAAGTAATTTTCTGTCAAACATTGTGACCGAAAAGTTTCCGGAAATTTTAAATAAAACGCAAAATTCTTAATCTTCATCAATATTTATTTTATCTCCTTCAAAATATGCTCCATTAGAAGCGATACACAAATGCCAACGTTTCTTCCAATCATCAAAACATTTTTTATTGGCGCTTTCCGGTATGGCTTTGAGTTCCCTCTGCGAATTCTGTTTTTCGTCTTCTATGGATTCAAAACGCGTTCCTCTGAGTGGTAATTTGAGTTTGGGAAACAGGAAAAAGTCACACGGTGCAAGATCAGGTGAATACGGTGGCTGTTTGATGGTATTTATTGAATGTTTGGCCTTAAAATCGTTGATAATGTTGGCTCGGTGCGAGGGAGCATTATCGTCATGAAAAATCCATGAATTATCCTTCCACAATTGAGGCCGTTTACGGCGGATAGCTCTCACGACCGATGCCTAGCTCTCGTGCTATCTCTCTAACACTCACATGAGGATTTTGGAACACGATTTCCTTTGCCTTTTCAATGTTTTCGTCGGTGGTAGAGGCCGAAGGTCGTCCAGAACGCGGCATGTCTTCGACGGTCGTACGACCGTCCTGAAAGGCTTTGTACCACTCATAAACTTGAGTTTTCGATAAAACTGATTACCCATAAGCCTTTTGTAGCATTCGCAACGATTCTGCACACGAAATTTCGTTCGAAACACAAAATTTGATGCAAACTCTTTGTTCAATATTTTTTTCCATTGTTTTTTCGCAACGCACTACTGAGGGGAACTGGTTTCAACAGCTGCCGTAAACGAACTGTCTGACAGATCGCGCTCATTTTTTGCATAGTAATTAAGGATAATTGCTGCCAAACTACATAAACTTAAAATATCGAAAAATATACAGCGCGCGAATTTTAAATGAGAATTTCCGAAAACTTTTCGGTCACAATGTAAGCCTGCAGTTAAGTTCTTCTGTTGACAAACTTGACCCTTTTTTCAAAATCATTGATTTTATGCGAGTGATGTTGTCTTTGGTTCTGCCTCTCAACGCCTTCAATTCCGCCATTTTCTTAGACCCTTTCTGCACGCCTCCTTGCTCCCCGTCGCTGAGTTCGTGAATTTCTGAGTCTAACATTTTGCAATTATATTTTTTTTTTCTGGATTACTATCCCTTTTATGGATCACTTTTATCCCTTGTGATCCCTTTTATGGATCACTATCCCTTTTATGGATCACTATCCCTTTTATGGATCATTATCCCTTTTATGGATCACTATCCCGGGATTCGGCACCAATGTTTTATTTCAGTTAGTTTACTGATTACTTTTCTTCACGACTACTTTATTATTTCTCAAAAACACATGTCGCCTTTTCGCGTGTGCTTAAAGGCGACGACACAATACAAAAATGACAAATAAATTAAAGGTCATGATACAATAAATCTTAATTCTAAACAATAGGTAAGCCATTGTTGGACATGTACAATATTTTATTGTTAATTTAATAGTTTATAAATAAGAATTATAATATAAAAATTATAAATTTTTGATAACACAAATTTAGAAATTCAAATTTTTCCATTGTTTTGAAAGTACTAAAAATAGTGTCAGTAAACGAATGTATGTATGTAAAGCTTTTCTTTTCTTATTTTAATTAATACAAATTTATTATATTAAATTTTATAAACGGTTGCATTTTATTTCTTACACTGTTTTTTAGTTAAAGTTTTACTTAAATTGTATTCAATATTCTTCATTTTTATTAGATTGAACTGTAAAAGATTTATTAGAATCTATTGAAAATATGTAAATGGAAATAGAAATATGAAAAAATTTTAACTATTCGATTATTGAAAGGACGATGGTCAAACGACTTTAAATAAAAACAGACAGAAAATATATGTAAGAGTAATTATTAACAAGTTCAATTCATTTAAAGTAATTGGTTAAGGCAGGTGAAAAAGATTAAGTAAAAGCAAGCTTAAGATATTAAAAGACTTTAAATTCTTTGTTGTTACCACTTAAATTATAAAATGGTCGAGTGAACATGAATTTGAGATGGTTTGTGCTTTTCGTATTGAAATAAATTATATTAGGCTATATAATAAGTTGACAACAATGTTGTGAGGAGGTGGAAAACGACTTCAGTTAAAGTATCTCTTAACACAAGAAACTAAACTATATTTAAGTTCAGATAGACTTTTCATTAAATTTTTAATAATAAAATTATTTTTTTGAAGAAACTACTACAAATAACGTAATACTAACGTCATACTAATTTATATTTATAAGTAAAATTTAATGATTAAATTTATAATTTTGTGGTACATGTATTTTTAAAAATTTTCATTTAACAGAAATTTCACGAATATGCTTTTTATATGAAGTATAAAGTAAATATTTAAACTCTCGATCATTTACAGAACTGGTAATATGACTATTGAAATGCAAACTCTCCAGATATGAGTCTCTTCATTTTATAAAAGGAGTTTACAAAACAAAAACAATTTAAATTTTTTGTATTTTTATATTTATTTGTATGCTTTTTATACATAAAATACAATATGTATTGAAAAATACGTTACACATCCTTATAGGAATTATAGCTAATATATAGCCAAGTAATTTTTCAATGAGAGACTTCATGATATTGTTTATACTGTTTTTTTTATTTTTAATACTAAGATATTAATATATTGAATGTTTAAATAAGTTTTATTAAAAATT